TTGGGAAGGTGACTTTTATGCTCAGTGCTAGTGATGAAATCCAGGGCCTCTTGCGTGCCAAGTGAGAGCTCTGCACCAGCTACACCCCAGTCCTGTGAAAGTGACTTGTGCAAAAGCTCACCTTCATTTGTAGAGAAGCATCTCTGCAGAATAAGCCACTGTGGTCTTAACCTGCGAAGGGGCTACTCTCTGCTTGGACCCCATACAGATGGTTCTTCAGGCAGATGGTCACTCACCTCTTACTACCAGAACCCAGGATATTAGGACCACCAAAATGAGTAGGCTACTGGGGGTGTCTTTTCAGGAGCAGAATATATGTGGCCTCTTTACATTTGGGTGCCAGAGTCAACATTCCTCTGACATCACCTGCTTTCTAGGGTGACTCAGTGTTCTCTCTCTCTCTCTCTCTCTCTCTCTCTCTCTCTCTCTCTCTCTCTCTCTCTCTCTCTCATATAATTCAGGGCTGTTGCAGTTCTTCTGATGTTTCCATGGCAACTTTCACAAGGATTTCATAGAACATAAGGTGTTTGAGCAGGAAGGGCCCTTGGAGATCAACTCCTCCTCCACATTTCACAGAACAGGAAGTAGGTCCAGATAGGCGATGCCAAATATCCAGGGTCACACAGCAAGAAAGGGACCTCTGTCCTATGGCTTTTAGATAGCTGAGTTTTGTGGGTCTGACTCCTCATGAAGTGCTCTGAGAACACTTTGGGAGCTCTGCCAAAGGACCCCTGCTAGAGGACCCCTGAAGTCCAGTCTAGCTTTCTGCTGCTTTATCACAGGCCATTCCCTTCAGTGCCAGTGAGGACAGGAGCAGACAGCATAGAATCTGTCCTCAAGAAGTTTTCAGATGGGTACAGAGGCCACAGAGCTAGCTTCCAGAGAACCACTGGAGGGCATCCAGGGTGCAGGAAATAGGGGCAGGAGGAACCTGGGAAGCAGGGTTCCAAGCAGAACCTGTAAGGTCAAGAAGATGGCTCTTATTCCTGCCTGCACTGTACTCCGGCACAGTCCAAATTCTGGTGTGGGGGTAAAGCTGGAAGCCTAGGGAAAATGGAGACCCTGAAAGAGGCTGGGCTGGGGACTCATGGCACATGCTGCACCAGAGCTAAGGGCTTGGACTCCCAGAAAGACCACTTAGAATGTTACAGGAAGCCAGGCTAAGTGGCACACACCTTTAATCCCAGCACTTGGGAGGCAGAGGTAGGTGGATCTCTGAGTTCCAGGCTAGCCAGGTCTACAGAGCTAGTTCCAGGACAGCCAGAACTGTTACACAGAGAAGCCCTATCCCACCAAAAATAATAATAATAATAATAATAATAATAATAATAATAATAATAAATAAAATAAAAAAATAAAGTAAAACTGTTAAATGAAAAAGGTTTCAGGAGCGAAGGGGCATGAGAAGACCAGAAGTCTGGGCTGTAAGAGGATTCAAAGGCAAGATTCAAGGAGACCTGGGTGGCTCCATTTATTTTATTTATTTATTTTTTTAAGCATGGAGCCATCTTTCCATTCCAAGATTGGACCACACTTCCCAGGGGGGCACATATAGCCAGTCCTAACTCCCTGCCTTGGGGGCTGGTCACTGCCAGCACTGCTCCTCTAAGAGACTGGGGGACTCCAGGCCAGACTGAGGCTCTCACACCCTCCTGACCCTTTCTCACCAAACTGGCCCCTTCCCTCAGGTTTGCTCTGAGCTGTCATTAGTTATTTATTGCTATGTAACAAACATCTCCCAAATACATAGGAAACCACGGTTTAAAAAGCCTCGTCTCTAGAAGAGAATAGTGGCCTGCTATAATCCCAGCACTCGGAAGGCTAAGGCCGGAAGATTGTGAGTTTGAGGCCAGTCTGGGCTACATAGCAAAATCTTGCATGGCATCATCCACTGAGCTTGTGTGTCGTCTATCAGAGATCTGGCTTATTCAGTTTTTCTCCACTGGCTGCTTGGGCATTTTCTAATCATGGCAGCCAGCTTCTGGAAACTACTGTCTTAGGGTACAAGAAACATGGGGTCACGTCTGTTGTATCATTGCTCTTGCTCAGATTCAAGGGCAGGAGACATAGACCCACCCACTGGGAAAAATACCAAAGAATTATCCATCTTCTTTTGTTGTTGTTTTGTACTTTGAGGCGGGGTCTCAATATAGCCTTGGCTGTCCTGGAACTCACTGTGTAGGTCAGGTTGGCCTTGATCCACTTGCCTCTGCCTCCCAAGTGCTGAGATTAAAGGCATGCCCCTCACACCCAACTCTTTATTTTTATTTTTATTTTAATTATTTAATTAATTAACTTTGAGACAGGGTTTTGCATCAGGCTTTCTTGGACCACCAGTCCCCAAATCATGACATGGAGACTTAATATTAATTATGAACGCTTGGCCTTATCTTATGCTTGTCCCACTGGCTCTTATAACCTATTTTAACCTGTTTCTCTTTATCTACGTTTTTGCCCTGGGGCTTTTTACCTTTCCTTCATTCTGTGTGACCTACTTTTCCTGCTTTTTCCATGTCTGTCTGTCCATCTGGCGGCTGCCTAGCTGGCTCCAGGTGTTTCACTCTCTCTGTTCTCTCCTCTTGAGCCTAGATGCCTTCTTCTACTTACTCTCTCTGCTGCCAGCCCCACCTATCCCTCTACTGCCTAGCTATTGGCCATTCAGCTTTTTATAAGACCAATCAGGGGCCTTAGGCAGGCAAAGCAACACATCTTTATACCATTATACAAATGCAGTGTAAACAAATGTAACACACCTTTACATAGTAAAAGCAATCTTCCGCAACATAAACAAATGCAACACATCTTTGTCTAGTTAAACAAATATTCCACAACAGGTTTTCCTTGTGTAGCCCTGCCAGGCCTGGAATTTGCTGTGTAGATCAGGCTCACCTTTAACTCACAGAGAACTGCCTACTTCTACCTCGTAAGTACTAGGATTAAAGACTTGCACCTCCATGCCTAATTTATAACTTACATTTCTTTCACCAATTTAGTAACTGCTTATTGAGGCCAGGAGCTGGCTGCCAGGGATATGGCAGTGACCAAGACAAGCTGCTTCCTGTGCCCAGAAAGCTTACATTCCAGGGTGAGAAACAGATGGAACCAGAAGAGCCATGAGATACAGTGATCAAAGATGAGCAGAACTGTGGGGCTTGATGCTTCTCATTTTAAAGGCAAGTCTGTCTCCTCTGCAGCTGGAAGCTCCCCTCCTCTGCTGCCCTCTGACCTTTCCTAGCTTGCTTGTTCCTTCTCTCTTCCTAGTTCCCTGCCTTATATTCACTACTCACATCCAGAATTCCCCACTTGCAGCCCCTACCCCAGAGCATCCAAACTTGAACTCTTTGTTTTTATCCCACGTACTGGACATATTTTGGGCAGCAGCTGGAAGGAGACTGTATGATCTACTTCCTAGAGCAAGTAGGCACAGGCTGATGAGGTTCCCAGCTGAGGCTGGCTTTGTGAGAATGGGGTATCTGGCATCCTCAGGGAATGCCACAGTAGGAGCCCAGTACCCCCACTCTAGGTCAGGACTTACAGATCTTGAGACTTGCCTGAAAGAGGTAGGAAGCCAGTAAAAGGAGACAAGGAAAGGAGACCTAGGGCTTCCCTGGGTTTGCTCTACAATAATAGGTCTCTGAAGGGTGAAGCTGAGCCATAGGACATGAAGCCAGAATTTCCCAGAGCAGCCTTATCTCTGCCATGTGCTGGCCTGATGATCATGGACAGCATCTCCTTTTGTTGCCTTTCTGGGCCTCAGTTTTCCCATCTGACCATTGGGGACTGTAGCAATACCCACCACACAGACTAGTACACCTAACACATGTCAGCAGTCAGTGTAGGGAAGCTTTCCAAGGCCTCTGCTGTGCAGGCCATAGCAAGGTCCTGTCTAGGAAATACTCTAGACAGTATGCCTCCATCTGGGTCCTTCTAGGCCTTGAGTCCCAGAGGTAGTGAATTATTCATGCTCTGGCCACTGCCAGCAGAGAAGGCTCAGGAGGCCTCCAAGAGACTAGAGTTTTGGTGACAGCAATCCTCTTGGAGGACAGTTAGGCCACTCCAGAGGAACACCAAGAAATGCCCTGTCTCAAAGGTACCACCCTCCTGCACCCACTGGGCTCATCTCAGATCATTGAAGTCTCATTCTCCAGACTGGAGTGTCTTGGGTGAGTGGCTTCAGAGAGCGCTCCTCAGGTCAGCGTAGGTGAGGCAGCAGGATCAGATCCTGGGGGTGGGTACAGCAGGTCCCAGACCAGTTTGGGGGTCTAGAGAATCAACACTGATCACTTTTGGATGAACCTAGGATGGAAAGATTGTGGACCAGTCACTTCTGGGGAAGGAACCTCCTATCTCCTAGGCTCTCAGGGCAGGGGTATTGCAAGGGTTATCTCAGGGGGCCTGATGCTGGCTGTGATACCCACTTCCTTTCCCCCCTCAGATGCCCATGCTTCAGCGCAGGTGGCAAAGTGAACCGTACCAACCATGCCTTTGATCAGCCGAGCCCCAAGTGCTCAGGCACAGCAGTGATTGTTTGTGAAGCCTGAGTGTAGGAGCTTCCTGGATGTGCCTGCTCTGGAGGGTGCAGCACTGAGAACAAGTGGGTCAGGTGGCTGGCATCTCTTGTTGAGAAGAAATAGAATCTCAGGCTGTCTACTCATGCAAACCTTCTGCCCCAGCACCCTCACCTCAGAACACACCCGTCTCCGGTCTGGGGCCCAGTCTTTTGAGCTAGGTTACTGAGCTGGGACATTGAAGACTGGGGTAAGGAACAGTGCGCCGCGAGGATAAAGGATCCTGGTACTTCTTCACACTAGATGTAGACAGCTGGGGCCCTAAGGCACAGAGCACCAGAGCATGCTCCTCCGGTGAACACCTAGAGCCTTGCTGGGACCTCCTGACTCCGCCCCCGGAGCGGCGGGTTATTTGCATGGCTCCGCCCCAGAGCGGCCATTGGCTGCGGCGGCGAGAGGCCGGGCCTGAGTGGCTGCGCCGCCAGGGAGGCGGGGGCGGGGCAGGCGCCGAGTGTTGGAGATGCTGCCACTGCTGCTGCTTCTGCTGCTGCTGCGGGACGGGTTCGGTTCCGAGTCTGGCTTGGCGGGCACGGGGCGTGGGACGACCCAGGGCGCGGTGGCAGCAGCAGGAGCACACTGAGAACCATGTCCAGGAAGAAGACCCCAAAGAGCAAGGCGGGGAGTGTGCCTGCTGCCTCTACGCTGCCCACCGCCGCCAATCGGCCCCGTCTGGCAGGTCCCAGGACTGCGCGTCCTGGCCCGGAGGCGCTACCCAACGGGCCCCCACAGTCCGGCCGGCCCTCACTTGGTGGCACTGGAGACCTCTACGACGTTGCTTTCAAGGTGAGCTAGGCACCTCCCCGCCATGGGAGTGCAGCAGGTGTCGTTGGATACTAGACTACTGGGAGGGCCTCGGGGAAGAGTGCAGGGCCGTGCGGCTCCTTGCTGCTGAACTGACCAGAGCAGTACCTCTCAGCTAGCCAGGCAGCACCTTAGATTGTTGCGCGCGCGCGCGTGCATGCCGGCGTGTACACACACACACACAACTATTAGGCTCGGGTCTGGGGTATTCAACAGCTGGCAGGGCCTGCCCCCACTCCACCTACTGTAAGACCAAGCAAGGGGTTCTGAAAGATCAAGTCCTGAAGCTGTGTCTCCCCGACCCTGGGGCCCTACCGGTACTCCACTCTCATCAATTCCCATCCATATGCTGCCTTCCCTCTCCTCCAGGGGGCTGTAAGTCTCCTTTTTCTGGGAGGGAGGGGAAAGAGGCCACCCCCAGACCAAAATTGAAGCTGTGTAAATCTGACCTCTGCTGTCAGGGCCATCGTTGGGTTTTGGAGCTTTGGGCAGCAGGGCTGGTGGGGGGAGGGAGAGACTTCGCCAGTCTGCCCCTCGGGCCCACAGATCGTCCCTAGTCCCTCTTTCACTTCAAAAGCAGTGTGTCTGGAACAGCTTTACTGAGCCTTGCTGCTGAGATTTGTGTCTTGGCTGGAACTGAAGAAGCCCCTGGCACTGAGTCCCCACAGGTCTCTTAGGAGGTTCCAGCTGCACTCTCGTGCTCTGCTCCCCATAGGCCCCAAATGCTGCCCTCCAAGATCAAGCATGATGTCTATGGAGGAGGGGTAGGTAAGATCTTGTATGGGGACAGCGGTCCTCACTCCCCATTGATTGAGGTGGCATTGTTGGAGGGAGAGGTGACACGCGACTACCAGCGGCAGAAAAGCTGAGCATCTAAACTATTGGGGACCATGGCTGCTGTGTTTCCCCAAGCTATGCTGAACCTACAGGCCTGGAACACTCATCTCCTCTCCCGCCCCTCCCCCACGGCTCAAGGCAGACCACAAGCATCTTTAGGTGGGTGAGGCCCTCAGCTCCAAGCTTGACTCCTCTGACCCCTGTCTGCTCTAGGTCATGCTGGTAGGGGATTCCGGTGTGGGGAAGACCTGCCTGCTTGTGCGCTTCAAGGATGGGGCTTTCCTGGCTGGTACCTTCATCTCCACTGTGGGCATCGACTTCCGGGTGAGAATGGAGGCTGAGCTCCTGAGCTCCGACTGGGTCCAGCTGTACGATGGTTCTTATACATAATCCTCCCAGTACCCCGGGCACTGATTCTCCACCTCCTGATGTGTCCATAGGCCCAGGAATGAGAGCTTAGCTACCAAACCAGCTGCCTTCCAACACCTGAGGGGCCTGGGGAAGCCTCCTAGTACCCAAGGTAGTAGCTGCATTCAACTGCAGCACAGAGTTCTACTCTTACCATGGGCTGATGCTATACTGAGCTATACCTGTGCCCTAGGGTAGTGACAATGAGAGGGAACTCAAGGCCTGTTCATTCACTCAGGAGGCCAATGCTGCTCTCCCGCCAAAGAGGGCACCCAAGGCCATGGGAGGTACTGGGAACTCTCTAGGTCCTACAATGCAGTGTCGCTTGGAAGAGACCTCCTTAGGATCCCAGGCAGGGTCCTGGGAGCTCCAGCATCAAAGCCTTCCCAACCCCCCTGCCCAGTCTGAATCTCATGTGCTGGGGTGCTGGTGTGTTCTTGGCAAATCCTGAATTTGCATTTTTCTCACCCTTTAATTAGACCCAGTTAGCAGGAGGTTGGGAGGAAGGCCCATTCTGGGGACAGGAAAGGGGGGTCCTCCTAGTGGGGACTGTTCTTTATTGAGGATTGCAGGTCTCCTCAAGCCCTCTAGGTCCTGGAGTCCAGGATGATGTAAAGGTTGAAGTGCCAGAGAGAGCAGGACAAGCTTGAGCAGGTGTTTCTTGCCTATCCTGGTCTCCCCCCACCCCCATCCTCTTGGCTCCTGGGTGGAAGGTGAGGGAGGTAGAACTGTGTGGTTTGCACCCCTGTTCAGGGTGCAGGAAAGGCAAAGTATCCTCCCTCGCCAGGCAGATGGCTGAGCCTGGTTCCCTGGAGACCTAGAAGCACTCAGAGCAGGAGCTCTGGAGAAGGGGAGCCAGGCCTAGCCTCCCATGGCCCCAGCCTGTAGTCAACCCTTCTCTGGGGTGACAGGTGGGTGGGCACTCCAGCCTGGTGTCTAATCTTGAAAAGTCTAGACCTGCAGACAGCAAGTTTATGAATATTGCCTATGTACCAGCCATAGTTCTGTGATCTGTGGGCACAGTACAGAGTCAGGCAGGCTTAAGTCCAGCACCTTAGGAATAGGTATCCCAGTGGTTGAAGTGGGGGTGGGCAGTGAAATTAGCTTTCCTAGGCAGGATGTAGTTCTTAGTGTACACAGTAGCTTACTAAGTTAAAGGTGCCCTGTCTACAGGTGGGGAAACTGAGGCACAGTGTACCGTTTATACCATCACTGACTTTAAGCCAGTTGAAGTCTTTAAGCAGGAACAGTGCACTAGTAATGCACTGACCAGTACACTCTTGGCAAGTCGGAACCTGTGTGGGACCTGGTGCTTGGGAGTGGTGGTAGTGGGGGTAAGCAAGGGCCCAAAGTGGACATAGCTGGCCATGATAACCTACTATCAGGGCAGCCATCTGAGGAAGGGCCCAGGCAGGGTCACCTGAGAGGATCCCCTCCCTGGGGGTTGATGCTGGAGGCAGTGGCAGGGAGTACCAGGCAGCTGCCAGGAGCATCTGATTTTAAACATAAATGTGACCTGTAGTCTGGTTTAAGTTCTCAGAGCAGAAAGAGAACCAGGTGCCGTAGAAGTGGGACAGGGGTCCCCCAACCTCCCCTCATGGGGGTTCAGTCACGGCTTGCATGACTCCCTCTCCTACTTCAACCTCAGGAGCCCCCAGGCCAGAGGTTAGCAGGCATCCTCACTGTTGCTGGCTGGTTCTGTTTCAGAATAAAGTTCTGGACGTGGATGGCATGAAGGTGAAGCTACAGGTGAGGTTACAGGGATGCAGGTTTGGGGCTGGAGACACCAGGGAGAGGTTGGGCAGTATGACCAGTGCCTGTTGCCACAGATCTGGGACACAGCTGGTCAGGAGCGGTTCCGAAGTGTCACCCATGCCTACTACCGGGATGCTCATGGTAAGCCCATAGATATGGGGACCAGCTCTCCTCCACAGGGAGTCTGGGTGACCTAGTGCATGGGGGCAGGGGGTGAGAAGGTACACTGTGGGACAGCAGGAGAGGGTGATGTAATGTCCTGTGACTTGGAATGTCTAAAAGTATGTGGGTAATGAAGGAGCCACTGGGCCCAGGGATATCCTCATTACTTTCTGTATCCAGCACTGTTGCTGCTCTATGACATCACCAACAAAGACTCCTTCGACAACATCCAGGTCAGTGGCCTTCCTGGCGAGGGAATGGGCCCAGGTTGTCTAGATGGCATCAAGGTCCCTACAGTTCTAAAAACCCCTGCTAATAGGAAGGATAGAAACTAGAGAACCCCTGTGAGCTCATGGTGGCCAGGTTCGTTAGTCACTAACCCAACAGGCCTGGGTGACACTTGGCTCCATCACCAGGGTTACCTGAATAAGGTACCAGTGAGGTGGGTACCTCTAGTCCACACATGGGAGGACTTCTAGGAAAAGGCACCCAAAGAGGTGTGGCACAAGAGGGCAAAGACCAGCCTTGAGACTGGTCCCAGCTTTCCCCACACAGGCCTGGTTGACAGAGATCCAGGAATATGCCCAGCAGGACGTGGTACTCATGCTGCTGGGAAACAAGGTGGGAGTCTGAGCCTGTCCTCTCCAGCCTGGCCCAACAGGTCAAGCCGGGCAAGCGTTAACAAAATTTCTGTGCCTGGACCAGGTTGATTCTGCCCAAGAACGCGTGGTAAAGAGGGAAGATGGGGAGAAATTGGCCAAGGTGAGTCCAAACAGGGTGGGTGACGAGGGTGTCCTTAAGGCTGTAACTCTTGGGCTGCCCCCATTCGGCCAGCACCTAGCTGGCAGCAGCTGTTTGCAGGAGTATGGGCTGCCTTTCATGGAAACCAGCGCAAAGACCGGCCTCAACGTCGACTTGGCTTTCACAGCCATAGCAAAGTAAGTCCTGGCAGTGAACAGAAACAGCGCCCGCATGTTCCAGGGCATAAGCCTGGAAGAGGCTGTACAGGCTGCATTGTGCTCTGTTGTCACCCCTGCTCTTCAGGGAGCTGAAACAGCGATCCACACAGCCTCCCAGGGAGCCGCACTTCAGGCTGCACGACTACGTCAAGAGGGAGGGTCAAGGGGTGTCCTGCTGTCGACTCTGAACCTGGCCGACTTCAGTCCCACTCTTGAGGAAGCAACCCTGCCTTGTTAAGTTGTATGGAGTCTGTATAGTCTTGACCTGACCCAATGGATGCCCCCAGTGTACCCATTTTCAAGACTCTTGAGGCTGATGCTCACCCTTTTTGCCCCAGTGGCCATCACAGAAATGGTCTTTTAGCATACAAACCATGCCATGGCACTCTGCTGCCCTCTTCTGGGCATTTGCGGTGGAGAGGACAGCATCATGTATTGTGCTGAGCTTCTAAAAAAAACCATGCTTATTGCATACTGCCCAGGCAGGACCGGCTTCATCACCCATCATTCTCCATTTGTTAGCCCCAAGGCCACAGCAGCCTGCTTTCTGCCCACTGTGGAGCTCTAAGAGGAAACTAGCACGTAGGCAGGAAACCACAGGACACAACCTAGTCACCATTCAGCAGACTGGCCCAAGCCACAAACTCGAGTTAAAACCCATCCCCAAAGTCTTTATTAATAAAGATGTTTTCTGGAGTTTGTGTCATCTGTGGGAAATCACCTTCCAGGGCCAGCAGGATGGCTTCGTGGGGATAAAGGCATTCACAAGAAAGCCTGACTTAATATCCCCAGAATTCACCTGGTGGAAGCACGGACTCCTGTGGGTTATTCTGACTTCCACATGTGCAAATGCCCTCACCAAAATAGTCCCCCACGGAACCTGGATTATCAAGATTAGAGTGCCCCATAACCCATTACTGAAACAACAGGCTAAACGCTCACCCTAGAGCAGAGCTCTAAACAGGCCTTACATTCATGACTTGGCCCTGTGCAGACCACCTGAGGACAAACTAGGCCTTGTGCAGTACGTGAAATAACGACATTTGAAAACCAAGATTGGACTTCCACTTTATTGCAAAGCAATTCAGATACACAGATGCCCAGCTTACCAGCAAACCCTCCTGCCCATTGTTAAGACTCTGGACGCAGCTGATTTACCGTCAAGGTCTGCCGCCGACTCACCAATGCTCTGAAAGTCAAACACCAGAAATTTTTACTTTTGGTAACTTTTCATTCCCGGCCCTTCCGATTAAAGGCAGAGCCCCCAAGCCTCAGTCTTGCAATGTAATCAGACTGCACATGCAGTTTTCATACGAGGTGTCAGAAATTAAAGCAATTCATCACAGGCTTGGTGCGGCAAAGGAAAGCCAGGCCCGACTCGGTCTTACCTGCAAAAAGGGAGTCAGAAGATGGAGGGGGAAAAAGGACTAAAGCAGAGCCCAGACCACCGCAGCACTCGAGGAAGGCTGGCCTGCAGTCGAGGGGCCCTTCGAGTTCCACTTCGCGACTAGTAACGGCAAACCGTGCTTCACAAAACCCGACCAAACGACACCTTCCAGTTCTCCAAAAAGAACGCCCTCGGCCGAAGCGCAAGCATTTATAGAACTGCTCCTTATGTGATTGGGCAGTCTGTGAGGAAGTGCCCACCTTCCTTCGCTGCTGATATGCTCCTCAAGCTATCATGCAGTTTCCACCAATCATACCGTAGACTTTCTTTTGGAGGCGGTATCTTGGGTCGCTCGAAGATCCTCCCCTTTGTAGAGTCGTTGAGAACATGAGCGGCAAGTGCATTTAGCCAATCAAATTCCGATCTGCAACATAGAGTGATTCTGAAGCCACCAGTCCGGTCCTGCAGTGCCGAGGTCGCCGGAAGTCGTAGTTTAGGAAACTCAAAGTGTGAAGCAGTCCCCGGAGTTCCAGGAGTCCGTGGACTACAAATTCCGACGTGCACAGCGCACGGGCCCTTCCGGCTCCTGTATCCCGTACCTTTCCGGGCCGCGGGCCGAGGGGGCAAGATGATGCCGGAGGGTGTAGCCGCTGCTCCCAGGCAGCCGCGGGCGGGTGAGTGTGCGCGCCGCGCGCTGGACCTGGGGCTCGTTCTCCCCTTCAGTGTGGCAGGGCGCGGGCTGGTATGGGAGCGTCACGAGCGGTCGTGGGCCTAGCCTGGGGGGCGGGACTGAAACTGCTGGGGTCTCAGCGTTCCTAAGTCTGCTTGACTCTCCGTAGACTCGTCTGTCAGTCCTTTCCTTCACTCTCTCTCTAGTTCCTTTTGCTCTCCTACATTTATAGGGCGCTGCCTGTGTGCCAGAAAGTATCCTAGGCTCTGGAGAGTCGGCAGGGAACAGGATTCCAAACTGATAAGCTCATCTGGTACTCGATTTCGAGACAGATCATTCTGCCTCTAGGAATCCTGTGCATTGTAGCAGCATTTCTGGATTTGTCCCCTGGACGGTAGTAATACCCACAGCCCTGTTTTGTTACAACAAAAATGTCCCAAGACTTTGATAAATGTCTCCTTGTGGCGACTCACCTTCCACAACTGTTATTCTAAAAGGAGCGAGTGACTGACAGAAGTTAAAAATCATGAGGAACTGTGATAAATATTACGGGGGAAAAAAACCAACAAAACTGAGCGCAGTTAAAGTGAGTGTTGAGCGCTCTTAAATCGTTTGGTAGGGAGCGCTACAGTTAGCCCAAAGACCTAATGGAGAAGCAATCAGTCCTGAGACATTGCCGAACGTGCCTTACAGGCAGAGGGAGCCAGAGGGATAAAGGCCCTATGAGAAAGGGCTTGGAGCAAGCTAGCAAACACTAGGAAGGGATAGGTGAGGTAGGAGACAGATCCGGGCAAAGTCTGAGAGCCTTCTGGTATGCATAATGATGAACTTTATGATTCAGGTGAGATGCAGGAAAAGGTGAGGAAGCTTGAATCATCGCCTTCTAACCCTCACCTGGCCAGTTGTCCCAGCCTAGATTTTTTTGAGGCAGGCCAAGATGATCAGATGAGGCTGAAGTCTAGAGATACCTGCCACTTCAATCTCATCTCTCCTGAAGCCCCTTCCTGTGCACACACGGGTTCATTCCTTTGTTCACTGCTGGCCTTGATTCAGTAACCATTCAGCCTTGTTCTTCAGTCTTCTTTGGGCTTCTCTATGCCCAGATATCTTTCTTGGGCGTCTATGTGGCACGCGATGCCTCAGTCATAAAGACACTCTAGAAGATGCTCCATGCATTCATGATTCTCTGTGGAAACTCCAGTCTCTGTACCCTGAGGTTCCTGCATTTATTTACCGCTGTCACTTCAGGAAGTGAGAACTTCTGTATGCAGCCTGACTAAGGTGACCACAGACCAGGAAGGAGTGGCCAAGAGAGATGTCCAAATCGGAGACGTTCTTTGCTGTAACTTCTTGTAGCGGTTATATCAGAGTCTTGCTGGAAATGAATCACAAATCTGAGTCTTTAGTTCTGATCAGTGGCAGATGGACAAGAAATAAATGGAGCTCTCTACCCTTGCCTCCCAGCTTCTGGCTCCTCAGGGGTCAGACTAAACAGTCTTTGGAGGTCTCCCTATTCTCTAGCGCCCAGTGGGTATGAATCTTGGATGAAGCAATGCATGGTGTGGGAAATACAGCTGGTGGAGGATCTAAGATGGGCAGAAAGTATAGGCCGCTTAGTTTCTGATGGCTGCCTGGCTCAGCTCAGCAGGGGACTGGCCCGAGGCTGCACTGGGGCTCCTGGTTAGTGATGGTGGGGGCAGAAGGAACAAAGCTTGGCTCAGCCTTTTTGTGTCCCCACACTGGCTTGTCTGTGGGCCAGCCTTTGGACCTTTCTCAGCCTCCACTCCAGTCTCTCAGCGCTGCTGCTGTTGGTGTATCCGTAGCTCTTAGTTATGTGTTATCCCTGACAGCTCCTTTCAGACTTGGATCCATTACAGTGTGTTATAGTGAAAAATCCAGTCTCCATCAAAGTCACGCCACTTACCCAGTCACTCCTCTCTTGAATGGTAAAGTAGAATTTGAACCCAGGTCTGTCTGAGTCTGGGGCCCATGGTCAGAATCACTCTGTCACAGGTACTGTGTGGGTAGTGCCAGCCTGTGCCCACCTTTAAAACTTACCAGCTGGTTGTATCTTACTGTGGACCAGGGTTCCTGTAAGTCTGGTCTTACCAGCAAGTGGGCACCTAGCACTTTATCAGCTCTCTGATTGGCTTGTTCATGAGAAACCCTTGGAGAGGAACCTGCCAGTCCCCCATCCTTCAATAGATAGCCCCAGTGTCCCCAGAACACTAGTCCTAGGGAAGAGTCATATGGCTGAAGGGAAACAGATCACTAGGAATGAGCTGATAATGTAGGACTTGATGCTTGAAAGTCGCAGGTAGAAGAAGGTCACAGGGTAGAAACCAAGAAATAGGGCCATACAAGAGATCCACGGGTGATATCCATTGTATGGTGGGAGGGTACAGGGGAGCAACCTTGAAACCCAGGATTGAGGGGTGGAGCTGCTGTGAGTGCCAGAAACAGGTATACAGTGTGGGGCAGGGCTGGACAGGTCTCTGCGCCTGGGACTTTAGTGACTGGACCCCGGCGTCTGTGGGTGGGAAGAATACACCAGGGAATCAGGGTCACTTGGAGAAGCAGATACCTGGACCTGTTATCACAAGTTTGCCACCATTTGGATTGTTTGAGATAGCAGGGCACTCAGATGGGATGACACACACCTCAGGAGCTCTGTCTGCTCTGGATCTGACTGGTCTCCTCCTCTGGGAAGCCCCCTGCCTGTCTAGACAGATCCTGAGTCCTATACCACGGAGTTGGGAAGGAAGGACAGTGAGGTCAGGCGAGTGCCACTGGCAGGACAGGTGTTGACGTTCACTCCCTGAACTCTGAAGAGGTTCAGCCTGGGCAGGGAAGATGTGGAGTCTGGATACAGGTTGTAAGAAAGAGGCAGAATTTGGGGAAGGAGAAGCCAGCTAAGGGACCCAGGCAGAGTTGGAGCTGTGGGTGTAGACAGCAGGAAAACTGGGGGTAGAAGTCAGGCTGGGTGCTGGGAGGGAAGGAATCAGAACAGGCTTCTGCCTAGGGGTTTAGAGATTCTGTGAGATCTTCAAATCTGAGGCAAGCAAAGACACTCTGGGGGCCCTGGGGACCCTGGCTCCCCGGCCCTGGCTCCCCGACCCTGGCTCCCCGACACTGGCTCTCCGGCCCTGGCTGTCTGGCCCTGCCTGTTTGGGATGGAAAAGATGTGCTAAGGGGATGTCAAGGGAAAAGCCAGGGAAAGTGTCTGTAGCTTTGCTATGGCAACCAAGTCTGTTTCTATAGGATTTGGCAGCCAGATCTGGTTTTGAGCTGAGGGAGCTGAATTAGGGGCTGGACATTCTTCAGGTCCCTGCACTGGCTTCCTTATGCCGGGAGATATGCTCGGAACTCCGGCAAGTATAACCAGAGGATGCTCTGGCTGAGGTCCAGCCTGTTGGCTACCCACAGCTCAAACAAGCCTTGGGCTACTTTTCTACTGGTAACAGCCAAAGTAGATAGTGTGTGTGTATATGTGTGTCTGTGTCTGCCTGTCTGTCTTCAAGACACAGGTTTTCACTGTGTATTCAAGCTGGCCTTAGCTTCCAAGCGATTCTCCTGCCTCAGGCTTTCAAACTTTTTGTCTTTAAAAAGACCAAATCGGGGCTGGAAAGATGGCTCAGT